TGACGGCGTCGCCGTCGTCGCCCGAGCGCGGGTGGGCGCCGGCGGCCGCGGCGGTGACGACGTCCGGCGTCGACGTGGATCCGATGCTGCAGCAGATGAGCATCATTCGGGATTACATACGCAAGGCGAAGCAGGCGCGGAGGTTCGACGAGGTGCAGATGCTGCAGGCGAACCTCGAGGAGCTGCAGGTGGAGTACAAGCGACAGCAGCGGCGGCTGACGGCGGCCAGCTAGTCGCCCCCGCGGGAAGGGGGGGGGGGCTTCCGGACGAGTTAGGAGATTCCGGTGAAGAGGGAGTCATACCCCTGTAGCGTGCGTGAATGTGTGTGTGTGCATGCGCGCATGCGTGCGTGTAAATGTGCATCTGTATACATGCGCGTGCATTTTGTGAATGTGCGTGTGTGCGTTCGTGTGTGAATGTGCATTCGTGTGTGAATGTGCGTGTGCGTGTGTGATTGTGACAATGTGATATGTGTCAGTCTGAAGCATACGATCAGATTTGCATACGATTTTTCGTGCAAGGTAAATGCTTCTGCGAGCGTGTAATTGAAGTTGTACATACAGTCAATATATTTTATTATTGAGCTAATATCGCAAAGCGTGACATTTGGTTAGTGTAATCACAGTCGTCTTAAACAGAGCAGGTGAACAGTGCTTTTAATGTATCACTTATGTATCACTGATCTCACATTGAAGAATTCGTCCCTATGCAGTGAAGCTAATCCATTGAAATTTTAAATACTGGAGTATTCTACAGAGTTGGAGAATTACTAACCTCATATAAACCAGTTCGCAGTCATTCACAAACTGGTTGCAGTGTCGATTGAGAAGTACTAATATTATTCAGTGTGTGTCATGAATGCCATTCAAAATACTAAACTTTCAAACTAACATCTAAATTGTAGTTTAATTGCAAATTTCAATGTAATTTCACTATGTAAACTGAAAATGTTCAGTTATATAGAGATAATGTTGTACAGTGCATAAAACGGCGAGTGATGTATTTTGTCATTGCAAATATAGGATTATTTCGATTTTAAAAATGTCACCACCATACAATGTAACACTTGGCATTTTGTGTTTGTGACAAAACATTCCTCACTTCTATACATGTATAAAATTATGTAGTCTCTTTAATTTTAATCTGTAGTACTTGCAACTAGTAAAGGAAGAAATTTTGGCATGGAGCTAAGAGAAATAATATACAACCACTTGATTGAGTCAGCCTCTAAGAGAAAATTTAATTAACAGAAACTTTATTCAATATTATATCTACATTACTCTGTACATAGAAGGATATGCTTCACATACCTCCATATTGTGGAATCATGATAAGCTCATTCCACTCGCCTGACTGAACTATAAACTTGGTTGATAAATACATATATGTGTTTAGAAAATTATTCAGACTTGAATTGGTTTGAAGTCAGAGATGATTCTAAACTTGACCTGCACACGTACTAATAATAATGAACTGGTTTTCTCCAGAGCATTGGAAAACTTAACAGTCAATAAACTCAAACCTTTATCATTCACATTAAATTTGTTCACAGGTTATTGACATTTTTCCTACATTACACTTTGCAAAGATAGTTGCTTGGAGCTATAGGAAATATAAAATTAGAAATATAATGAAAGCATTTTGAGATTTGTACACCTAACTGAGCACTGTAACTACCATAGCCGCGCATAGCCACCGGCTGGGTCATCCTTGTGCTTACGACCTCTATGTTTGGCACGCATTTCGTTGGGTAGCTTGACTATGGATGGACAGGGTACCTGCCCTGGTACCTCACACATGCAATGCTTTGGACAACCAAACCCAAAGTTGGCGGGATTGTCCCTTTTCTCTGCCTGCCTTGCCTCTTCTGCAAGCTTTTCCCTGTATAAACATTAGATGTGCTAGCAGAATTAAGACGTTAACCATTTTAACTACGAAACAGTTGGAGCTTTAATTTCCAGGACATAAGCAGACATGAATATGAGAATTTTAATTATTATAATAACAACAATAACAGTAATAATAATACATACTCTGTCTTTCCCAATATCCTCAAGACTTGGTTAAAAATCTCATCCTTGCTTTTGCAGTCAACGTCAAGTATGACATCTTCACCACTCTCTGTAACAAACGACACCATTGAATGTCGAAATAGCATATTTAGCCTAAGTACATGCCCGCATATACATACATACATGTACAGAAATGCACACATGCACACATGTCTGCACATACACACATGGACTATACTGTACTTACCAAGCCATGCTCTGATGAAAGGTGTTGGTGTCATGTTCTGTAGTGTAAGAATCTGTACATCAGGATTCTTGTACTGCATCTGGGGCAAATGCCAGAAGACGAAGTCCCTGAAATAATTGTCCATAAATGTTTAGTATCTATATTATTTGCTCCACCTATGCAGGTAGCACTTGGCTTCACTCTGCCAAAGAGCTATGCAGCGAAGTTAAAAGGAACCCAGCGAAGATGGCAAAGTGCCTGTTCAGAACCCATCACCATTTATATACGGCATTTCAATAAGATTAAAGATGTTATTCGTGTGGTTATCTGCATTTGGTTAATGCCCAAATTGAGCCAAATTATTATGAGGTTGGCTTGAGCTTATAGAGGTGGGCTCATTTATCTTCATACAGGCTTCATTTATGTATTTTATATTCATGTATTCATTTATGTTCGATACAGGCTTCGACCCAGGATTCACGGCAAGCCAGGCAAGGCCACGACTGTGAGCATATATAAAGGCTGCCTGGGATGGACTCGGGGTGCTTCACTCCACCAGACGACCAGGAGAACCGACCGTGTAAGGATCAACCCTTACAGTACTAGTACTAGTACTATAGTATTAGTAGTAGTAGTACTACTAGTACTACGGTACTACTAGTACTACTAGTACTACTAGTATAAACTTGTTAAGTTCTTACTGTTGTTTTATGATAAAACGTATCATTGACAAGTCAGGTATAAACAACTACGTAATTTTTCTACCAGTATTAATACCAAAGAACCGTACCTGGCACCTTTACCTGGCGCGCCATGCGTAAGGTAATTTACTGTTACAACTTTTACTTGTTCTCTGAAGTGAATGCGGCCCGCATTCAAGTACTTCAACGTTCTCCGTATCGGAGCTGGTCCTTTCATGAAAGGCATTCTGTGAAGGTCATATAACACCTATTGCCGTAAGGCGAGCTTTTAAGCTGCAAGTTTAAATACAAGGAGAGCTTATAACTGCGAAATACGAAAACTCAATCCATGGAAATTAATGACTTTATACGTGAATATCCAAATTCCAGCGTGAAATATACAGCAGAAGCACTAGTGCGTCGGTAGTATGACCAGCGGACCCGTTGAAACACCGGTGAAAGCACCATCAATGTCTGTGGCGACAGCTATCGGCGATCGAAGCGCCCTATTTCATCTAACGCCATTGATGTTGTTATTGTGATTGTGTGTTCACGTTCATCACCTTACTAGAATAAATTAGAAGTCTTTATTGGACTGCGTGGCTGATTTTATGAAGTAATACAGCATAAGAGGCAGAAGTTTTTACTCTTTTAGCACATTTAAATCACTCCGTTATAGCTTATATTGTTCTATGAAAACTCACCACTTGAAAATGAAGATTTTAACGTAACGTTGTGTAAGTATTGCCATTGCCATTGGTATCATTTGTGTTTGTAACAGTATATTACTAGCTGTGGTCGCGCATAGGTAGTACTTGTTTGTTATATGACTCTGAGGTAATACGTATAGCCTTCGTTTATATCCCTGCTTTACCTTGTCATCTTAGGAGTCCTGGTTACATTGATATTACCATAACAAGTAACCCTGCGACCGCAAAGGGGTCCTGTTTCAAACACACACTAGTAGTAGTACTACTAGTAGTAGTACTACTACTACTAGTAGTAGTGTCTGTAGGATTACGTCGTGCACATGTATATTTCTCACTTATACATTAGAAGTGCAATATACAAATTACAACAAGCAAATCGCCGCCGTTTGTTTACTGATGGTGGTCAAGGCATTGTGATCTTGGATGTACATGGTCAATAGCTGTGACATTTTACATGGAAAATGGGGAGCACCACATTCAAAAGAAACTCAAACTTGTGTCTGACGTGTTACAGTTATACCTCATACTCATAGGCAAAATGCTGGCAATATATTTAATCACAAGAATCATGTGCATGTTATGCATATATCTATGAACCAAAAAAAAACAATACATTTTTGCTAGTTTTATATGCTTCACTAATATAATAGGCAAAGACAGCATTAATGTGTCTTTCCATCTTTCTATGTAGTGAATAACTAGTGATTATGTTGTAGGTGTGCTTGCCTACTGGTAATCTAGTATCTTATCTTTCATATTAATCTGTATTAGTGCATCTCTTGCGACATGGTATGCATCAAAGTGCTGCTGTATTGAGGTCGAGTGCATCTTTTGCAACAATTAAACACAACGACCCCTTGGCTCATGTTTACAATTTTATGCTCACTGGCTTACACATCACGTTTTGCACAGTGTGTAAAACCTGAATTGGTGGATACTTAGTAACACTAACTGCTAGTAAACAAGTCTAAACTGTCTGAGCAGGTTAGCTCATTTTGAAGTGCGTGGACGGTGCTGCCCTCTTTTGTGAAGATGCTGGTGAAATGTTTACCAAATGGTATGCAAGCCTAGGGCAGCGATATTTTTACTGTAGCCGTAATCTCTTGAGAAAATGTTGTAAAACCGGGTCAGGACTGTAGTCATACAATGCACCCATGGTAATTTTATTTGCCTCTATCATTGGCGGGGTCATCTGTCAAAGTGATCATATTCATGATTTTGAGCTTTCCTGTACATCTAATTTGATTTACCAGAAGAGAATCGTGTATGCTTGTCGTCACTAGTAATTGACCACCGATAAATTAAATATCGTAATGTTTTACGGTAAAAATTCTTGCAAAATGCGATCCGTCCTCAAACGTACCAGGTGCAAAGTAAACGTGCTCTCGTTATACTGGATAATCTGTACATGTAGAAGTGCCGATATTTATCCCGAGAAAATAACAGAAACCACTTGCCTCCTGCTTTTTCGAACAGTTTCTCCGCACGGTTTCTCGTGCAGGAGACGGTTAAGCAATAATGCGTTTTATCCGCGAGCCCTCGCCGCCCCTTCGCTCTGGTCGTTGCGGTGACGAAAGAAGCTGTGAAAGCCGATATGGATTGATGATCACGTGCGCGCAAGATTACATCCTCGCGAATGCCTCCGCTCGCTCGCGCACGCGAGGCACTTTATTCCTTTTCGCCGGGATTCTATCGGAGCAGAAAGGATAGGAAAGAAGCAGGAGAAGAGCGTTCGCGGATCTTTGCAGCGATATCGCGCTCACGTGTTCCCGTCGAGCCTTGGCTGCGGGTGTTTCTCGCGTGCGCTGCGGAGGTGTGATGAAATATTCATGATGCCGCAAACTTGCGCGGGATCTCTTTGGAAATGTATGAGGTTGCCAGCTTGCCAGTTGAATGGAATATTGGGAATAACGGGCCGCCCTGTCTCACGCCAGCTCTCGCTCGCTGTAGGTTTCTCTATCTGTATCTCTTTCTTTCTTTCTCTGTCCTTTTATCTTCCCCCATCTCCCCTCTCTCTCTCTCTCTCTCTCTCTCTCTCTCTCCCCCCTCTCTCTCTCTCTCTCTCTCTCTCTCTCTCTCCCCCCCCCCTCTCTCTCTCCTCTCTCTCTCCTCGCTCTCTCCCTCTCTCGCTCCACTCTCTCTTTCTCTTTCTCTTTCTCTCCATGTCTTTCTCTCCCTCCCTTTCGCTCTCTCTTTCTCTTTCTCTATGTCTCTCTCTCTCTCTCTCGTTTATTTCCTGCACGGACTATCACTATTTATGTAGATGTAGTTTCTGTTTAGAAGCATTCGCTCGCGTTCATGAATACACGCCGAATGCAACCTTTCGCAACCATTTCGGGCGAACGAATCCCTGACTCCCAGTGCCATACAACATCGTTACCATGGTGACAGCGAACAGCGTCTATCACGTAGTGCCAAAACACGCGGCGCGCCAGCGCGCAAACACACGGCTCGCCTAGACTGACCCCGTAACTCGTCGAGGGTTCGACCTGGTGGTGATCGAGAGAGTTTGGAGGCAGTCTACGGCTCGTCGGCGAATGAAGCCGTGCGTGGCACGGCGGTGACGCGATGCCGGCTCGCTGCCCGGCTCCCTATTGTCTCTCATTGTCTCCCGCTGCCATTGTCGCGTGGCTCCGACGGCGGGGGCGACAGAACGGATGCCGCCTCCCCGCTCCCGTCGCCGCGACGACGACTCGTGTTGCGGCGCCGCTTCTGCGTGTCACGCTCCGCCGGGTTCGTTATCGGGGTAACCGCGGCGACGCGGCGCCGGGGCTAGAGGGCGTCTGCTCGCTGGCCGGAATAGACGCGGCGGCGGCGGCGGCAAGTAAAGGCGCGCCTGTCACGGCGGATGACGGGGGTTTACGCGGCGACGGGAGAGTGACAAACGATCCGTATTGTATTACGCTACGCCCTCTAGGCACGTCATTGTCTGGCGGATCTGTCGCGGTCTTGCGTTTAATCTGTACTGGTGAGGAATTGAACTTTTGCGACCAGAGAATTGGTCCTGCCTGCGTCGTAATGTGTACCCGCGCGTTGGGTTTAACGTTGTAAGAGCAGCAACTGTGCGTGCATGCACGTGTTAACACACCCACAGCATGCAAGTGTAGGTACGCACGCACGCACGCACGCACTGCAAACACATGTCACGCTGAATAAGCAGCGATGTTATTATAGGATTAATTTCAAATTAGTTCAGTTAAGCGCCGGACAAACGGCTAATAAAAGCCCCCTATCCAAACATTATCGCGGTCCGCACGCAATACACTACTGCCACGGCAATAACACGCAGCATGCATAACGCACGATGACATGACGCTCACGGGAAAAAAATCAATAGCGGAAAACATTCATTCGCACCGTTCTGAAGGTAAACTCGCGCGAATGAATTAAAATTTTCTCGCGTGTTCTCCCTAATTCCCTTCCATCCCGTCGCCCACGTCCCTTCTGTAATATTGTCCTCCACATGCAACGCGCACATGCTCTGTGTGTGATCCATCTATCTTCGGTGCTGCTGCTGCTGCTGCTGCTGCTGCTGCTGATTATGATGGCGATACTGTTGTTGCTTCTGCCACTGCTGATGCCGCTGCCGCTGTTGCTGATATGATGGCATACTGTTGTTGCTTCTGCCAC